GGAGGTCAACTACATGGGAGTCCAGCAACACAGCCATTATGCTAACTGCTGGTCCCAATACATGTGGTTTTTATTTTTATTTTTAAATTTCATTTCCCTTTAAACATTCACTCACTTGATTTAATTTACAAAGTGAATATTTCAACATGTGAACATTTCTCCCCAGTCCAGTTGATAAAACTATAAAATATCTTCAACAGGTAATACCACATTTCTTTGATCCATTAATGCTTTGCCTCTCAATTTTCCTTTTAAAAGACTTTCCTCAGACTATAGTCTTTCACACACACTATATCAGGTATTCACATCCGTTTACTGTGTTTCAATATCCTTTAGTCAATCAATTTCTATCACAGAGTGTGGACACTCAGTATATATTAAGTGGGGACATACAATATCTTTCATTCATAGCCTGGCTTGCTTCACTCAGCAGTAAATCTTCCATATTCTTTCACTTTCTGTCAAAAGCCAGGGTCTTGTTTTTTATGGTTGCATAGTATTCCATAGGATATATGTGCCACACTTTTTCAATCCATTTATCTGTTCGTGGGCATTTGGGTTGGCTCCATGTCTTAGCAATTGTGAATACTACCACAGCAAACATCGATGTGCAAGCACTTTTCTGATTAATAATTCTTCTGTCCTTTGGGTAGATACCAAGAAGTGAGATTGCTGGATCATATGGGTAGTTCTATTTGTAGATTTCTGAGAAATCTACAAATTGTTTTCCACAGTGGCTACATTCCCACTAGCAGTGTAAAAAGAGTTACCCTTTCACCACACCCCTCCAGCACTTGTCATTTTTTTTCTTTAATCTTAGTCATTCTGACTGGCATTAGGCGGTATCTCATCATTGTTTTGATCTGCATTTTCCTTACTATGAAGGATGTTGAGCATTTTTTTCATATGCCCTTTGGCTATCTGTATGTCATCCTTAGAGAGTGTTTTTTTTTTCCAACTCATTCTCCCATCTTTTAATAGGGTTGATGATCTTTTGTTCAGAATAGCTGCATGGGTTCCTATGTATTCTGGTTATCAGTCCCTTATCTGACACATAGTTGACAAAAATATTTTCCCATTCTGAGGGCTGTCAATTCACACTAATTACTGTGTCTTTTGTCATCCAGAAATTTCTTTGTCTGAAGTAATCCCATTTGTATATTTTGGGGATTATCGACTGTGCTTTGGGGTCTTATTTAAGAAGTCTTTGCCTAGCCCAATATCACCCAATTTCCCCAGTGCTTTCCAGGGGCGGTTTTATAGTTTGAGGTCTTAGATTTAGATCCCTGATCCACCTTGACTTGATTTTTGTCAGAGGTGAGAGGTAGGGGTTCAGATTCATCTTTTGGCAGGTGGAAATCCAGTTTATCCAGCACCATTTGCTGAAGAGGTTTTCCTTTTCCCACTGGATTGACGGGTACCCCTTGTCAAAAATCAGTTGATTGTATGTTTGGGATTTATTTCTGGGGACTCTGTTCTGTTCCATTGGTCCACCTGTCTGTTTTTGTGCCAGTACCATGCTGTTTTGATTACCACCGCTTTGTAGTATATTTTGGGGTCAGGGAGTGAGATGCCACCCACTCTACTCTTCTTTTTCAGGATTGCTTTGGCAATACGGGGTCTTTTATGATTCCAGACAAATTTTATGATTGTCTTTTCTAGATCTGTGAAGAATGTGTATGGTACTTTGATTGGGATTGCAATAAATATGTAGATTAATTTGGGTAGAATAGCCATTTTGATTACATTACTTCTTCCAATCCAAGAACATGGAATGTCATTCTACTTTTTTGTGTCATTTTCAATTTTTTTTTTTTTAGCTTCTCATAGTTTTCTTTGTGAAGGTCTTTAACTTCTTTCATTAGATTTATTTCTAACTATCTTATACTTTTTGTGGCTATAGTAAATAGAATTACTTTTTTTCTGTTCTATCTCAGTCTGCCTGTTGTTCATATACAGAAATGCTTTAGATTTCTGGATGTTAATTTTGTATCCTGCTACATTACTCTATTCATGTATTACTTCAAGGAGTTTTTTTATGAATACCATTTGGTCTTCTATGTATACAATCATGTCATCTGCAAAGAGAGTTTCACCTCTTCTTTTCTTATTGGAATGCTTTTTATTTTATTCTCTTTTCTGACTGCATTGGCGAGGACTTCCAGTACTATAATGAAAAGGAGTAGAGAAAGTGGGCATCCTTGTCTTGTACCCATTTTTAGTGGAAAAGCTTTCATCCATTCAGGATGATGTTCACTATGGGTTTTTCGTGGATAGCTTTTATTGTATTGAGAAATGTCTTATCTATGCTGATATTGCTGAGAGTCTTGATCATGAATGAATGTTGTATGTTATCAAATGCTTTTCTGCATCAATTGATATGATCATTTGGTTTTTATCTTTCTTTCTGTTAATATGGTGTATTACATTTATGGTTTCACATATGTTGAACCAACCTTACATTCCTGGAATAAAGCCTACCTGATCATAGCGTATGATCTTTTTTATAAGTTGTTGGATACAATTTGCTAATATCTTGTTGAGAATCTTTGCGTCTATATTCATCAGAGATATTGGTCTATAGTTTTCCTTCCTTGTCCTGTCCTTATCTGTTTTAAGGATAAGGGTGATAGAGGCTTCATAGAATGAATTAAGGAGAGACTCACCCTTTTGGATCTTTAGAAATAACTTGAGCAATATGGGGGTTAACTCTTCTTTAAAATTTTTGTAGAATTCAGAGGTGAATCCATCAGGACTAGGGCTTTTCTTTGTTGGGAGGTTATTTATTACTGATTCAATCTCCTGACTTGTTATGGGCCTGTTCAGACTTTCTACATCTTCCTGACTCAATCTTGGAATTGTATGTATCCAGGAATTTGTCCATCTCGTCCACGTTTTCTTGTTTCTTGGCATATAGTTTTTCATTGTGTCCTCTAATGATGTTTTGTATTTCTATTATGTCTGTTGTTATATTGCCAGCTTCATTGCAGATTTTATTTACCTGGTTCCTTTCTCTCTTCTTAATAAGTCTCACTAGAGGTTTATCAATTTTCATGATCTTTTCAAAGAACCAGCTTTTACTTTCAATTTTTTTTCTGTATAGTTAGTTTATTTTCTATTTCATTTATCTCTGCTCCTATCTTTATTATTTCCTTTCTCCTGGAGATTTTTGGATTATTTTGCTGTTTCTTTTCCAGTTTTCCAAGTCACGATCTTAGGTGATCCATTTGCCTTCTTTCCATCTTCTTCTTATGTGCACTAATTGCTATGAACTTCCCTTTTATGGCTGCTTTAGCAGTGCCCCAAAGATTATGGAAACTCATATCCTCATTGTCAGTGACTTCCATGAATCTTTTGGTCTCAGTCTTTATTTCTTCAGTAGTTGTGAAGTCATTCAGGAGTAGGTTATTTAATATCCGTGTATTTGTGTATTTCTGAGAGTTTCTCTTGAAATTAAAATCAAGTCTAATTCCATCATGGTCAGAGAAGATGCTGGATATAGTTTCTATACTTTTGAATCTGTAGAGGCTTGCTTTGTGTCCTATCATGTTGTCAATCTTGGAAAAAATTCTATGTGGGGTGGGAAAAAAGTATATCTTGTGGTTTTTGGATGGAAAGTTCTATAGATGTTTGTTAAGTCTATTTCATTTATGGAATCATTTAGATCCTTTATTTCTTTACCTATTTTTTGTCTAGATGATCTGTCCATAGGGGATAGTGGAGTATTGAGGTCTCCAACAATTAGTGTGTTGTTTTCTATGTCTTCTTTTAGATCTAACAGTCTTTCCTTCACGTTTTCGCGTGCTCCTGTGATAGGTGCATAGATATTTATAAGCGCTATATCTTCTTGATGGATTGACCCATTTACTACAATATTGTGCCCTTCTTTGTCTCTTCAAAAAGTTTTTGTTTTAAAGGCTATTTTGTCAGAAATTAGTATCGCAACTCCTTTTTCCAACCCTTCACTTTCAGTCTCTGTATGTCTTTACCCATGAGGTGGGTTTCCTGTAGGCAACATAGGGTTTCTGGTTTTTTTTAACCCATTCAGCCAGACTGTGTCTCTTGATAGGAGAATTTAATCCATTTACATCGAATATTATAGATATTTGTGGACTTGCCCCAGTGTTTAAGTTGACCATTGTCTTGGCTGCCTTTTATGCCTTTATTTGTGGCTGTTGATTCTTTAGTTTTCCTGGAACAGTACTCTCCTCAGTGTTTTTTGAAGAGCTGGTCTGGTGTTGGCAAATTCTTTCAGCTTTTCTTTGTCTGAAAAGATTTTAATCTTTTTTTTTTTCCATATGAAGGACAGTCTTGTAGGATATAATAATCTTGGTTGAACTTGTTTTTCTCTTAAAACTTTCAATAAGTCTTCCCATTCTTTCCTTGCTTGTATTATTTCCATTGAAAGGTCTCGTGTTAGCCTGATGGGATGATTTTTGGAAGTCACTTGTCATTTCTCTCTTGCCAGTTTTAGTATCATGTCTTTATCTGTGGTCTTGGAGAGTCTGGCTAAGATGCGCCTTGGGGAAGATCTTCTTGGGTTGATTCTATTTGGGGTCCTTTGTATTTCTTGGGTATGGATGCTTGAGTGCCTCTCTAAACTTGGGACATTTTCTTCCAGCATTTCATGGAATAGATTTTCCATGCCCTTATTAGTTTCTTCACCTTCTGGGATGCCAATTATCAGATGTTTGGCATGTAATGGAATCTAGTATTTCTCGTATATTATCCTCATTTTTTTTGTTGTTATTTTCTCTATCTTTTTGGTGTTTTCTTTTTCTAGGTCATAGGTTTTATCTTCTACATCAGAGATTCGACCTTCAGTATGGTCTAATCAACTTTTAATACTTTCAAGAGAGTGTTTTGATTTCCTGTATTACAGACTTCATCTCTAATAGTTCCATCTGATTCTTTCTCAGAGTGTCTATTTCTTCTTTCATGTTGTAGGACTTCTTAAACTCCTGTAGTTCATTATCTCTTTTCTGTTCCAACTCATAGAATTTGTTCACCATGAATTTCCAAATTCTTTCTCTGTCTAGGGGGTTGGGTCCTTTTCTTGGGAGCCTGGATGTAGGATGGGGGTTAGTGGTGCCCCTGCCTCAACATTTTTGCTGGTCAGGGGTTTAGAGATGGAACTCGAGCTTGGCTGCAGAGCAAAGGCCGGTCTGTCTAGGGGGTTGGGTCCTGGTCTTGGGAGCCTGGAAATTGGGCGGGGGACAGCGGTGTCCCTGCCTCAACATCCTTTGCTGGCCAGGAGCCTAGAGATGGAGCTGATGCTCTGCTGCAGAGCAAAGGTCAGTCTGTCCAGGGGCTTGGTCTTAGGAGCCTGGAAGTGGCGTGGGAGGCAGTGGTCCCCCTGCCTCAACATCCCTTGCTGGCCTGGGGCCTAGAGATGGAACTGCTCTATATGTATTTTTAAAGCATGTTCTAGTATACAATCACGTGCATACATGCTTGGTGTATACTTGTGTCTAGTGGTGAGCAGGTGCCTGGCATATATGGTAAGGTACTACATCTATGTGTATGCATACATAGTGCCACTCTTCATTTTTTAAAAGATGAAAGTTTGATGAGCTTGGATTTTCCCCTTCAGTGAGGATTACCAGCTAGCTCTCCTTGCCTATCTCTTACATTTCCCAATGAATGGCATGTGCGCTTTGATTTAAAAGTGCCCACTTGAAAAGGGACAGGAGTGTGAAAGTGGCCCCTGACTCGAGAAAGTGAATAATACAAAAGGAATGGAAACTTACTTTTAAAACCACAGACTCTATTGCTGTATTGTTCTGTCTTATCTGACTCCAGGCCTTTACAACATCAACCACGAAATCTTCCACTGCTGAGCACAAGAATCTGGAAGGATAAGAGATGTCACAATGTGACATGGGCTGTGAGGTCCAGAGTCCTTCTCTTTCATAGCATCACTAGTATCCATTCTTCCTCTTTCTTTATCCCTTCCCACTCTTCCTCCCTCTTTCTCTTGTCCCAACCCTCTCTCCTCTGTTTTTCTTACAGATGGTGACATATTCCCATCTACACTTCAGTCCAGTTTCACAGCACTTCCCAAGTTGAGTACCAAAGATATTTTGACTAGCATTTCTTAGTCCTAATTCTGAATTTTCACAGAAAAAATTTACTTGGTTCCACATGGGTCAGATTTCCAATTTTGGTAAATCATCTATGATTCAAGGGCCTGGCTAATTTAGTACTAACAGAATGACATTGGGAATACTCACCCTGTGGGGAGTGTTTCTCAAAGGATTTCCAGGAGGAACAAATGACCCACATATGTAGAAGAGGGAATAGTGATCCAATTATGAGGGTAGCTCTAGGTCAGTTTTACAGAGACCTTTCCCAGAGTTAAAGATGGAAAGCAGGCATCTGCACTGTAGGGAACTGTGCTGTGCTCTTGAATGGCATGGAATGTTGTACACTCTGTTACCCTCTGTAACCCTCTGTCCATATCTCTGGCTTGCAGATTAGTGTTTTTGGAGCAGCAAGAGCTCTTTGCTCAACTCATCTTTCTTTTCTAACTTTCTATTCAGGTGAACTGAGTTGGTAGAAATTCAATTTGGGAAGATAACCATATATAGTTCCTTTGGTCTCATACCCCAATTATCAAAATGAATCTCTTTTCTAACCTTGGAACAGCCCATGAGGGGCAAAAAATACCCCAAAGTAAGGCTGACCTGGTTGCAATGATCATCTCTGTGGGGTCCTTGGCTTTCAGGATTTTGTTCAATTCAGTGCTTGAAGATTCCAGATGTTGAATGGCAGCAGCCTGTGGGGTGGGGAATGAAGGGAGTTGGGGGAGAGAAAGAAGAGTTCAGCCCTGGAATCTGAGTATTGGGATACTGTGCTACCCATTCCCATCCCCTCAGCCTCAATATTACAATCCTTCTGCCTTTACCAGTAACCCAACTGCCTATCTGAAAATAATCACCATCAAAGAATTCTTGTTGATGGTCCCCAGAGATCACCTTAGACCTGTAGTCATTCTATAAATTAGAAATACAATTTTTTTACCGGTACCAAAATAGACACATAGACCAATGGAACAGAATAGAGAACTCAGAAATATTTTATTTCTCTTACTTAAATGAATAGTCAAAAGCTCATATGAAGGAGAAACTGTTTGTTCTATGTTTCAAATGAACAATCTCCTTTTCCATAGCTACTAAGTATTAGAAATGGGATTTGAATCCATATCTTTCCAATGCTAAAGTGTCACCTCTTAAATACTACTACAACTACTAATAACACCGCCCACTTATATAGTGCTTATTCTGTGACAGAGAGATTGTTTTACACTATCTGTATATATTTTTCACATAATCTTTATAACATTATGAAATAAGGATTGTTATCCCAATTTCACTGAAGAGAAAGCAGAGACACTGAGAAGGTAAAGTTGGTAAATGCCACAGCCATGATATGATTTCAGGTAATCTGGCTCTTGAGTCTGTGCTTTCAATGACTTCTCCTTTTCCTTCTATATCACCCTCTATATTGAAGCATCCACCAAGTCTTGATAATTCTATTTCTTTGTTATGTTTCAGATATGTTCACTTTTCCTCATCCATATTACCACTCCACAGTCTGGATCATTATCATCTCACCTAGACAATTATAGAATCTCCTAGCTTTTCTCTTTATCTTTAATATTTATTCCATCAATTGTTTCTGCAGACACCATAGAACTCTTCTGCTTAAAATCCTTCTGTTAAAGAACAGAATGGATAGATGTTTCAGTGTATGATAAAGCAAGTATAGAGAAATGTAATGACAGAAACTACCATTTCAAGTTTCATGTGTTTTTGGAATTTTTCATAGTAATTCTAAAAACCCTTGATAATTCTCATTGGTCTTAGAATAAAACTCCAAACATCCTACCATGTTTTCCCAGTCCCCAATTACTTCTCCAACCTCATCTTTAGTCACTTTCCTTGTATTTCCCCTCCCTGGTCCCTATGCTCCAGCCATTATAAATGTAATTCAAGTCCATGAATAGCCCATGCTCTCTCTTGCCTTAGGAACACCTTACACTGTTTCATCTGTCTGGAACAGGACTCCTCTTTCTTATTTTCTGGTTAACTCCCTCTGGTGTTCAGATCTGTTATAAAATGGTACTTCTATTGAGAAAATTTCCCTGATTTCCTCCAAGACTGAGGTAGATACATTTGCTAAATGTTCCCGACTCCATCTACTTCCTTATATGCATACTACTTGATTGAAACTATTTATTTTACTATATGTCCAAGTAGACTATGAGCTCCATGACAACAGGCACTATTTCATTAGTCTTTACCCATTAGTATTAAAGAACAGCTCCTAGGACAGTATTTCACATATAGTAGTCACTCCATAAATATTTTATGAAGTGTCCAAATGAATCAGTAGAGGACTAAATTAAATTACAACCCTAATACCTAATATAGTTCTTAGTAAATACTTGCTGACTGACATGTTCTTAGGCCTCAGTGATCTCAGTCAAATCAAGCCCATGGATAATAAAAATGCTTCTCTCTGGGCTTTGGTTATATTTTCACCATGCAATACAGATGCTGGCCTGAATGACAACTGGACAATAGTTACCTCAAATTGTGGTACATCCATTTTGACCTGTCCTTTTAGCAGAGGAGTTTGTTTGGGAGTCTCACGAATCATCACACTCCATCTGGAATGAAGTTTGAAGAAAGATATTTAGGGTCTCTGTTTCATTACAGGCTATAATCAGTGCTTCACAGGTCATGATAAAGGTCAAATGTTTATGTAGTGGGGAAAGGTGGGTTTCTAAACAATCTCTGGTCACCTGATCTCAATATATACCCCAAGAGAGGCTTTTACCTCATGACTTCTGTAGGCCAGTGTGATGAAAGGAATTCTCTCCCAGGGGTCTTAGAGAGCAGTGCTTCTCACCAGAGGTGACCATCAAGATCATGTGGGGTGCATTTGTTAAAGTACACATGGCAGGACTCTCTCTGAGGCATACTGAATAACAGTCTTTGTGGTGGGGCCCAGCTTGGCATCTTGAAAAACTTCCCAGGAGATCCTAATGGGTAACCATCAGTCAAATAGTCATATATGCCCCAGTACGGAAAGGTTTGTTTCCCCTCAGGTGATAGCTCTACTTTCTCTAGAGCAGAGATTATCTGAACACCCATGTGGTTTCTGAACATCCTGTCTGTTTTTTAGTTTCTTTGAAAACCTGATGAAAAAATGGACTATTTCCTAAGGAAAAAAATATACTTACATAAATAATTTGTTATGTATTTTGAAAGAGACTCAAAGAACCTTTAAAATTTATCCATGGGGCTCTTACTCCAAGATCTTTTACGTTTAAATATGGGTTTCAGTGATGTTTGAAGGATACATGGTAGAGCCTAGTTTTCCAAGAGACTAGGCCCCCTAAATTGCTCTGTACAAAAGCCATAAGGAAATGAGGCTCTGTGGGACAGTTTATAGTACTTTTTGTTTGTTTGTTTGTTTAAAGTTGTTTTTTTTTCCCATAAGGCATATGCTTGCCAGAAAGAGAGAGAGAGAGAGATAATGGGAGGGAAAGCAAAAACTCACTCCTAGAGGGGATAGCTATGCCATAATGCCTTCTCCATTCTCCTCTCAGGATTTTGGGCTTGCATGCATACGTGCCCAGGGTGTTTCTCAAGCTGCCTTGTCCAGCATTTGAAGCATGGTTGGCTATGTGGGAGTCCAGTGCCTTAACCACCAGCCACCTGCTGACCCCTGTAGTATTTGTTGTCAAGATGAAGTAACTGAGAATAACTGGTGTGGGACTGGAAGAGACACAGGGACCTGGTCTTTTGGCCACTCACCTGTCTAGAATCCTCACACTAGCTTGCTGCACTCTGTTGAGTATATCAAGAGGTGATTCATTTTTGTTCCAAAATGCACCCCAGCCCAGGACACGGGCCAGATCATTACCAGTTCCAAGTGGGATGACTGCAAGCTGACACTGCAAGAATAAAAGGAGATACCCTTTTTCAGGCAGTCCTTCATCCAAGCTTCACTCATTATAAAATCCACAGGATATTCTTTCTGAAGAATTATGGTCTTACAGTCAGTGGTTTCAAGGAATGTCAGTCTTTGGAAGTATACAGGAGGATATTTGAAGTTGAGTGAAATTTCCCAGTATGAGAATCTACTCAGTAAAGCAGAAAGTTGTGGTAATATGCCAATATTCATAGAAATTCTTACAAAAGAGATATGTAGCCACAAATATTTATCTGGGCTGGGTCAACTAGGTGAGGTTCCTCAGGAGACAAAGCTACTAGAATCAGAAGAGCAGAAGCCTGCTTAGAAAGAGCAGATAGGGGAACCAGCAGTTAGCATAATGGCTATGTCGCTGGACTCCCACGTAGTCGACCGCGGTTCGCGTCCCGGACCCGGTGGCTTAAAACTCACACCGGGCGCATGTGCGTGCGTGCCCAAGATCCCGAGAGGAGAATGGAGGAGAAGGGATTGCGGCGTGACCATCCCCCCTGGGGGGTGACTTCTCGCTTTCTGTCTCTATGTCTCTCTCTGTCTGTCTGGCAAGCGCACGT